GTATTTCAGAGAGTCATGCAATAAGTATACTTGAGGCTTGTGTGCAAACGTAATTGATTGTGTATAATTGATAAATGATAATTGACCCTTTTCCGGGAGTTTGACTGACAGGCGACCGGACCAGTCATAACGCCGAACTTGAACTTAAAAAAATGGTGTGTATTGACGTCTTTCTGCGGTCGAAACAAGATAGCTTCTGATGTTCACTAATGTTTATTTCGTGGTATAACTAGTCAAGAGGAAGAGATGATCGGTTCACGAGCCGCTTGAACTGAGGCACTACAGTGATCTGTCACCACACGTTAAAGTAGGGCTAAAAAATGTATCAACGATATAATGTTTCATATCGTTCGGTATCGATAATTATTGACATTTTTTATAACCTTTTTTAAAACCAAGAGCAATAGATTTTTTTTTTTACATTTAACCAGTGTATTTTTTAAATTAACTCAATTTGAGACAAACAACACTTTTTTTTTTTAACAGTCAAACACAAAATTAAAATTAAACAAATATCTAATTTCTAATGTTTTATATGCAGATTAAATAGGTTAAACTTTTGTCATGTCTCCCGAGGCCACAGGAGGGCGCAAAGAGCAAAATAATGCAGCACATTAAAATGTCAATTGTTAAGATACAAGGAAGTAACTGTCTATAAAAAAACGTCTAAATTAACTCATATTAATCAAATATAATTTCATAAATTGCACAAACGATTATAAACAAAACAGCATCACGTATTTATGCATTGCTTAATACAAAGAGCCGAATCGCTCATCACACAGACTGCATTTAAAAACATGAGACGCAGTGAAAAGGAATAAACCTTCACAAATTTGTGACGTGTTTTCTAAAAGTTTAAACTGTTTTAACTTTGCATGACTTTCTATTCATCTCTTGTGTGAGATGCGAGTGCAGCAGTCATATTTGTCCGTCTAAAAAAATGTGCTGAATATGCGTTCTGTGTGAACCCATTCAAGATCTTCTCCGCATTGAGCTACTATATATCTCTGATATTTTGAATGAATAACGCAGCAGCGGCGCGTCTCGTGGGCTAGACTAACAAAACATTAAACTACAACATCACTTACATCATAACCACCGCATCTCGCGCTCCACTGATGACGCACACCTAACATTTGATTGTACTATTTTTGCATTCAAATGCAAATGTTTATTTTAAATTCGACTAATATTCATTTTTAATCTCCTCGTCACAGGCACAGCACTCATGTTCATGTTTGTGTGTGCTGTCTTTCGTCACTCATAGCACGTGCCTATATCGTGCACTATATCAAACATGTTTTATATCGTTATCGAAAAAGGTGTACATATCGATACCGTTTTATCGCCCAGGCCTACGTTAAAGAGCCACCAACAGTGTTCATTGTTTGAATTTCTTACAAAATGACAAAAATCTGAAAGCTGAGAGCTGTACGGTGGCCCAGTAGTGCACAACACAGTGAAATCTCCACAACACAACAAAATTAGCGCGACACAATGGATGGCTCGTCAGAGGTACTAATAGAAATTACTTCAACTACTTGAAGTAGTTATTGGTTAATTCTATACTTGGATTGAATCGAGTCGAGCTCTCATCTCTCTCATTGTGTTTCATTTTTTCCCCATAGATGTGTGAGGATTTGTTCAGACAGACGGCAGATAACACTGACCCTGACCTGTCCTTCTCTGTTGAGGTATGCTCGAGTGCATTTACAGTGTTACAAGAACTGCGAGAATGGCCTCATAAAGCATGCGAGTTCAGATTAAACAACAGTTTCTGAAATAAAATGAGCGACTCCTTATGCATTATACAGTCAATAAAAGATCTGATATCATTCCATGTCTATTTTTTTAGGTTTCATATATGGAGATTTACTGTGAGCGGGTTCGGGACTTGCTGAACCCAAAAAGCAAAGGGTCCTTGAGGGTCAGAGAGCACCCGATAATGGGCCCTTACGTAGAAGACCTCTCCAAAATGGCAGTTACCAACTACAGTGATATTGCCGATCTCATGGACACTGGCAACAAAGCCAGGTATTATTAATTTCAGCATTTAATTGAAAAAAAGCATGTCATTCTGTTTGCTCAATGAGCTCATTCAAATAAGATGCAAATTAAAGGCAGACAAATGAAGCAAAACAAAGCTGCTTTTCACTGTGTGCAGAACAGTTTTGAAATAGCAGCGTTATTAGAAGTGCAGATAACAAAAATAAATACATTTACCGGTAACGATAATAATAAAAACAAAATCACTAGCTAAGGACAGAAACACAAGGCCCGTGCATGAACAAAAATCTAGGCAAGAATGCTGAGGTATTGCCAGCATGATTTCTCACATTGCTGTGGTGGTAGTTACCTTCTAATAACCAACTAGATGTGTTATTCAGGCTATAAACATGTTGACAGTTTACTGACTAACTTAACTAGCTTAGTGAGATTCTCTTTAAACACTTGCTCTAGTATGACAGTAGTAGTTAACACGTTTTTTTAATTGCGCTCACATAGCTATATGTCTGAGTTTGCATACTTGTGTGAGGTAGGGCTGAAATGATTATTCTAGACAATTGTAGACAATGATGCGTTTTTATGGGCTTACATTTCTGCCACAGTTCTGCGTGCGAAAGATCATATTTTGAGCGCACAAAAGTGCATTTTG